ATATTGTGATTGATAGTATAATCTAGATAGATTTAGAGGAAACAATACCATTTGAATTTGTTCCCTTCAAATGCACAGATGTCTGTGAAGAAAAATCCAAATGGGAGATGAATGAGCATGTGGAATCTGAGTAATCCCTTGACTTATTAATCAAAACCTTCTAACTTCAAAATTTCCTGTTAGTACGTATTTTAGCAAACTTCCTCCAAGTAAAAGTTTTTATCATAATTTTTTTTAATACAAATCAAGCCCCTTGTTTGCTGTAAGGTCTTTGGTATAATTCTAGGAGAGAACCTTTTCCAATATTTAGTTACATTTTTCGGGCATAAGAGCATCTACAATCACGCTCTCTATTTCTTAGGAGCTCGATCCCCCAATTTTAGGAGGTGGGTAGGAATAACCCAGCCAGCATCAATCTCCCTGAAAAGCTTCCACTGAACTTGTAAAGAAAAAGGACAGTGAAGAAACAAGTGATCAACACTTTCCTCGCAAAGATTGCACATAACACACCTGTGGGGAGAAAGACTCATATAAGGCCTCTTCTTTTGAAGATGGTCACAGGTATTTAGCTTCCGAGAGCTAGCAACCACACATGAGATTTGACTTTAGGAGGGGCCTTAGACTTCCAAATCTGGGAAGTGGGGGAAAAAATCTGCATGTCGCCACTATTACAGAGAAAAAACTATAGGATTTGCAGGAAAACAACCTGGACCCATCTAGCTTCCACCTTCTGCTATCACCGTGATATTGGTACAGACTAACCCTATCCAAAATCTGCAACAGCCGCACCAACTCACCCACCTCCACCTCGTTAAGATTTCTCCTGGAACCAAAATTCCAATGGTAAGGATGAACATAAGAATCCACGAGACTAGCAACACAATGGTGCTGATTCCTAGAGAGCGCAAACAGTCTAGGAAACAACTCCTTCATAGAACCCTCATCCAACCAAGTATCAGCCCATAACAACACCAGGTTCGCAGCCCTCACATATTTACTCCTGATCACCTTACGCCATATAGAGTCACGCTACTTCGGATACCTCCAAAGCCATTTGGCAAGCAAGGCCGCATTCTTCTCCCTCAAATTACCCACACCTAAACCCCCTTCCTCCTTACTTCTAGCCACCCCCAATCAGAATTTTGAACGAGGACAAGTAATAAATTGGGATGCTACTCAGGACCACTTGAATTAGAGTAAGCCTTCCACCTCTAGATAAGTAGGTATTTTTCCAGTTTTGGAGGCGAAATTCCACCTTTGCCACAGCAGCATCCCAGAATTTAAGGGCTCTCGCGTCCCCCCAAAGACGTAGACCCAGGATTGTGTCAATCTCGAAATCTTCTCACAATTAGAGTTGATGCCCAGAAGAGAGCATTTAGCTTTATTGATGCTCAACCCAGAAATCTTACAAAATAAATTCAGCAACTCAAGTAAATGTTCCCAATTCTCTTCAGCAGCGTCCAAGAAAAAAATAGTATCGTCTCCGAACTGCCTATGAGAAATGTCAACCCCCTCATTTCTGATCTTGAGCCCCTCAATCATGTTGTTCTCTTGGGCTTTCTCCAAGAGCCTACTCAACACATCAACAACTGAATTGAACAAGAAAGGAGATAAAGGATACCCCAGCCTTACACCTCTAGAAGCCTTGAATTTACCCCTAGGCCTCCCCTTAATCATAATGGAAAAATTTGTAGACTCCAAGCAACCCGAAATCCACTTCCTCCACCTTCCACCGAACCCCTTCCCCTCCATAACTAAATCCAGAAACCTCACAATGGATTAACAATCTTAATTTCAAGCTTTCTGTAAACTCTGACAATTTCCAAATTCTAAGGAAAACATGTGCCATGTTTATTTGAGACTTTTAATGAGCAAGCTACAGAGATCACATCAGGGTTCACAATGACTAAAGGCCTAGACCAGTATCAATAGAGAACATGAAAAGGATTAAAACAGTTTTGCATGTTGAATGAAAGTACATAATTGTATATTTGCCTTTACCGCCGCATGCATCTAAGTTCTAACAAGAAAATGAATCCTTCAAATAAAAGGCAAGAAAATTGAAACAGAGAATACACCTAACCACAGAAGGTGCAGCTTGGCTAGCTGAGTCAAAAACTTCACACAAAGGTTGCTCACTTTCTCCATGGTATTGTTTCACAACTTCAGAGCCATTGACAGAGAAAAATTCATAATCAAGCCGAAGAAGTCTTTCCCGTACCAGGAGGACCATGAAGAAGCACTCCCATTGTACATCGTAAACCAAAACTAACTAAAAAAAAAGATATGAATGAATGAATGTAATAAAAGAAGGACCATAACTTATGAACACATCCTTGCAGTCGTATACCAAGACACAATTAACTTTAGTTCTACGCTTTTCTTGTATCACATACAAGACAAGCTTGGGATTGATTTTGTACATAGTGATGAATATGACCCTGCCTGATGGAGGACAGCCCATTGTATTGGAAAGATTTGAAGACAATAGCACACCGTTCTTTGTAATCTGAGATAAAAGATATGAATAAAAGTAAAGAAAATGTTTTAGAGTACAAATGTAGACCCCATTTTTTATATTAGAAAAACCATTTGTCACAATTGCCATACCAAATAAAGGGAGCAAAAAAAGTAACTCAGTTGCCAAATTTCAAACCTTAGAAGAAGGAAAAATCATTGCAAGAGCAAAGTAGTTCCCTGCGTCATTAGTTAACTGCCCACAAGAATCAACCCCAAAACGTCTAGCACATTAATCTGCTAATGAGCTGAGAGGAAATCCATCTGAAAATCTACTCTTCAAACAAGGAAGAGACGCCTATCAATCCAATGAATGCAAAACATGACACAGTTAAACCAACAATAAAATAAGAAGAAAACTTGGATTGCTTTGTAAAAGAGAAGATGAAAAAGTGGAAATTACCGCAACAACGGATCCAGGGGAGAAGGAAGAGGCAACATTGGAATGGAAGGCTCTGAAAGCCAAATTTTACAGCTTTTGGGGTCGTTCTGAATCAGAGATGGGTATTTAACCGAAGCTTGTTCAAGAGAGCTTGCAAAACTCTCATCAGTAGCTTCAAAATCAAGTGACCCAGGTGAAGAAAAGTTGTCAGAATTCGACAACCTTGATTGGTTCACTCGGAGTAAACAAAGCTGTGAAAGCATTGGGATGGTCACAAAATTTCCAATAAGTAGACAGCGAGAATACAACCATGTTGTAGCACATGTCTGCAGAAGTCTTTTTGTACTGTCATCCCCTAAAACCTCTTCAATATCAAAAGAATCAACAGATGACTCATTGGGAATGGTTACATTTCCTACTGACTCCCCACGCCGTGGTGAAGTTACTGGACTGGTATCAGAAACACTAAGCTTTGATTGATTCAATGGTGTCTTAGGGGATGCAAGCATTCCATTTTCAGAATGACAGTAAGATTTTTGATAAGAAAAATTGGTAGAGGTATTGTTCATAATTAATCTATTGTTAGAATGAAGAAGCTCCAAAACTAACTCCTTGCAGTCGTATACTGAGAGGCAATTAACTTTAGTGCTACGTGCTTTTCTTGTATCACATACAAGACCAGCTTGGGATTGATTTTGTACAGAGTGGATGAATATGACCCTGCCTGATGGAGGACAACCCATTGTATTGGAAAGATGTGAAGACAATCGCACTCCATTCTTTATAACCTGAGATAAAGACATGACTAAAAATAAAGAAAATGCAGACCCCAAATGTTGTAATGCAATAATTTATTCGAATGAATCAACCATTAGAAATCCAAACTCCAAAATGCCCAAGGCAATTAAAAAAACGTATTTATTTAATCAACAAAGGTTTCCATAACAAATTGCACACAACGAATTCGATAATTAGATTTTTTGATCTGATCACAGGATGCCATTTCAATATTCAACAATACAGTTCAAACAGTAAAGAAGTGAAGTTTGGACCTCTTCCTTTTACAAAAACAAGTTCATATATGGAACATCCTTTGGGATATTAGTAGTCACCCAGTACTGGAGAATGCGTATTTACTGTTTAGAGTTTAGACGCACACTAATGCCACATGTTTTAAGTTTTATTGCATAGTAATTCATCTGCTGAGCCTTTTTTTTGTTCTTAGAAAAACCATTTGTCATAATTGCCATATCAAATAAAGGGTGCAAAAAAAGTAACCCAGTTGCCATTCAAACCTTAGAAGACGGAAAAATAGTTGCAAGAGCAAAGTAGTTCCCTGCGTCATTAGTTAACTGCCCACAAGAATCAACCCCAAAACGTCTAGCACATTAATCTGCTAATGAGCTGAGAGGAAATCCATCTGAAAATCTACTCTTCAAACAAGGAAGAGACGCCTATCAATCCAATGAATGCAAAACATGACACAGTTAAACCAACAATAAAATAAGAAGAAAACTTGGATTGCTTTGTAAAAGAGAAGATGAAAAAGTGGAAATTACCGCAACAACGGATCCAGGGGAGAAGGAAGAGGCAACATTGGAATGGAAGGCTCTGAAAGCCAAATTTTACAGCTTTTGGGGTCGTTCTGAATCAGAGATGGGTATTTAACCGAAGCTTGTTCAAGAGAGCTTGCAAAACTCTCATCAGTAGCTTCAAAATCAAGTGACCCAGGTGAAGAAAAGTTGTCAGAATTCGACAACCTTGATTGGTTCTTTGAATGCTTCTTTCCCTTTGAAGAAGGCATCTGTAAATACAACACTAACAAGGTTGGTGTTTTGGTATGGGGTCCCGGCTATGACTTTCGGGAAAATATGGTTTCAGGGGCCACAGCAAAAAGAGTTGGCAACAGAGAAACAGAGAGGCAAGGCTTGGGCGAAGAGACGAGAAAGAGAGAGAGAGAGAGAGAGAGAGAGAGAGCCGCGCAGGGCAACTTAGAAAACGCATTGACTTCAACTTTTATATGACCCAACCCCCGCTGTACTTTCCACTTCATTTGTCTAATAAATAAAAACTTCCAGAAAGAGAAAACCCACAAAAAACATTTAAAAAAACACTAAAAAGGAAAAACAGATAAACCAACACCATCTCAAAAAAGACTTCAACTTGTCATTTGCAGCAGAAGCTACTTCTCCCCACCTTCAAACCCTAAACTCATTATTTATTTCTCCACCAGAGGAAATTCAAACAGAGCAAAAAAAGAAAACCCCAACACTTCTTCCTCAGCCACAATCCCTTTTGGTTCTCTCAAGTTTGGAGGTGATTGCTTGAGTTTCTCATCCGACAGTCCAGAATGGCTGAAACCATCCAAGACCCAGTTGAGCAAACCGGGCATGGAGCCTGACCCACTATTCCACTTGCATTGTTCTCCATGGGAAAGTCTGAAGAAGACCAGGCTTTGCCTTCCAATGTTGCCTCTGAGGCCTCAGCTCAAAATGCAGAGGCTCACTGTGCTGGTTGCTGTGGTGGGTTTCGGAGATTCATTGGCCTCAGATGCATCTTGGTTCTCTTACTCTCTGTTGCTTTGTTCCTCTCTGCTATGTTCTGGTTACCTCCATTTCTTCAGTTTGCGGATCAGAGCGATCTGGATCTTGATTCAAAGTTCAAAGGTGCGTTATTGATCAATTTCTTCAATTGGGCTTTAATTTGGTTTGTGTGTGTGTGTGCACCGACATTGTGTTACAAGCTGTTGGATCTGAAATTTCGGTTATTTTTTTGGAATTTTAGTTTGGGTTTTTTTAATTTATTTATTTTTATATAGATATTTATGATTTGTGGTTATGACTTTTGGTTTGGTTGTTGAGAAAATGTTGGGAAGAAAAATTGTCAAGTTAGAATTCTTTTACCGGTTGTTTTGTTCTGGCGAATTGGGGGTGGAGGGGTTGGAGTGTGTTTGTGGTTTTGTTGGTCTTGGTGGGTATTTGTTGGTTGCTGAGAAAATGTAGGAACTCTGGCGATTGAGACATTTTGCCATATTTTGTTTATGTTATTTTGGTTCATTAAAAATGAGAAACATAAATAAGTTGGGCATCCCTGGCATAAAAAAATCTATGCTTCATGAGTTTAATTTCACATTTGTCTTCCCTAAATTATTCGAAACAAATAGGAACATTGCTATTTGCTTTGAATATAAACTGAAAACAAAATAATTGTAGTGAGACCTTTTGTTGATTTATGTGTTTCGTTCTTATTTCAGTTACCTTGTGCATTTCTATTTAAAGTAAGCCATGCAATATTATTAGTGTAAAGGACCTACATTTAAGGAATTGTCAGATGCTAAACGTGGATGTGTTAGTCCAAATGATGATTTTCCTTTTAAGCTCCCGTCTGTTATTTGTGTTGTGAACTTGCTTTAATGACCAGAGATTTAAGTTTAAAAGCATATGTGTATTTCTTTTATATATATATGTATATATTGAGGCATCCTTTATGGAAGTAGAAACATGTTCTTATTTGGATGTGTGCATGAGAAAAAACATTCATGTTTAAGTCAATGTGCTTTTCATCTATGATCTATAAGACAGTTGGTATGTTAAACACTAGAGAACCATGGAATCATGTCCAGCCATACCCAACGCTTGTTTGAACGGCTTCAAATAGAAATCACCACTATATATATATATATATATATATATATATATAGAGAGAGAGAGAGAGAGAGAGAGAGAGAGAGAGTGGAAAATCTTTGAGATATGAAGAAAATAAAATACGGTGTATTTTGTCATGAGTATTTCACTCTATAGGTTTCTTACTTATATTTTATACATCATTATCTTCTGCTACTAACTGGCCCTATACAGTATGTGTGCTAGAGTTTTCACTGGCCTGCATGTGCTAGAGTTTGATTTCCAAGGGAGAAACTGATTACAAGCTTCCTCCTAGCCTTTCCTTGAGTTTTATTCAATGAAATATAAGACATGGAATGAGTCTTGATTCGCATGATCATCAGCAAGTATGATAAATTGGGTTCAAATCCCAATAAATTTTTTATTTTTTTCATCTGGAATTAATTTCAACCATTGGGTTTCAATTTACAGGTTGTTGATACAATGGTCATCAGGTGACCATGTGCGCTCAGGCCTATACATTCTATATAGAGTTGTAGTAGCAGCTTGTTGCAAAAAATTTCATTTCTGTATTTATTAGGGGAGGAGGTTGTATGTTTTTGTGCATTTTTTTTTATTGTCTTTTGCCTTTTCAAGTGTGAATATTATTTACTGGTTCTGCCCTTACTTGCATCTAAAAGTTTTGCAAAACTAAATCACAACCAATCCAGGAAAGAAGGAAACTCATATTAATCTGCTAATAAGCCTGCTGAAGTTTCTGACCAAAAAAGAGAGAGAGGCCCCATGAAATATAGAAAGAAATGGGGGAGAAAATATAAGAGAGAGAGAGAGAGAGAGAGAGAGAGAGAGAGAGAGATTATTAACCTCCATGCCCTGAATGCGATGCTACTGTTTGGGTCTAAATGGTGCATTTGGAAGACATGATAAATCACCTTCATCTGAGTGTGATTCTTATTTTTTATTAACGGATTCCCATTTACAATGCCAAAAGATGTGAAGACTGCCACTAGTCCACTATTGTGGTAATTTGTGTTTCTTGTTTTTTTCCCCTCATGATAAGCTGGGTACAGAATGGGCTTTGGAGGGTATAATCTGTGAGTTCCTGCCTTACAATCTATAAGAATCTCTTAATCAGGAGAATGGTGATGTTAGAGAGAGAGAGAGAGAGAGAGAGTATTATGTGCCCAAAGATTCATCTGAATTTGATGCTAATATTTGGGTCTTAAGTGCGTTGATTCACCTTGTTATGGCTGTTGTTTGGTATCTTTGGAAGCTTGTTTAGATCACCAGAGCAACCTATAAGGCAAATTAAAAGTGGGTTGGTTTGGGACAATGTAAAATGCAGTTGTTCCTGTTGATCTTGACTGCGTAATGCTATCACTTGATTCCAACTTCCAAGTGTTGTGCTAAGTTTTTTCATTTTATTACCTAACCAATGCAGAGTATTCTACTTCCTTTCATTGCTTTGGTTTTTTTTTTCCTTGACTATCCTCATAAGTCACCTAACAGGTTGCTTTTGAAATTCCATTTCTAGCAGAAATTATTATTATTTCCTTCCATTTTGCTTGAGAACAATTTTCAATTAGTTTTGATGACATTGTACCAATTATGGTTTGTGACTGACGACATTTGTTTATCCAGATCATTATATAGTAGCAAGTTTTGATCTTTGGAAGCCAGTTTCTTTGCTGGAGGATAATATTTTGCAGCTTGAAAATGACATTTTTGATGAGATTGTCGCTCCATCAATTAAGGTATCTGCACTCTTCTTTTCTGATTAGAGTCTCCATCTTTTTCTATATTTTGATCTAATTCACTGTTTGAACCAGGTCGTAATCTTATCTGTGGAATCCTTAACTGGATCAAACACAACAACAGTTGTGTTTGGGGTTGATCCGGAGCCAAAATCATCGAAATTATTACCCACTTCTCAAAGTTTGATCAAGGCATCTTTTGAATATCTGGTTACACACCAATCACTCCGCCTGAATACATCCTTGTTTGGGCGCACATTCCTTTTTGAGGTACTAAAGTTTCCAGGTGGAATTACCATAGTGCCTCCACAAAATGCGTTTCTTCTGCAGAAAGTGCAGATCCTTTTCAATTTTACCTTAAACTTCTCCATCTATCAAATACAATTAAATTTCGACGAACTGAAAAGCCAGCTGAAGGCAGGATTACATCTAGCACCCTATGAGGTTAGTCTATCCTTTTTATGCTTTCTCAGTACCTGCATCTTGTGCATATATTTCCCTGAGGCGTATCTGTAGATTTATGTAGTCATATGTTTGCATCCAAGAATTTGTTGAAAATTTTCTGTTCTGTTAGTTTGATGATTTCATAGCCTTCAATGCATTTTTGCATACTGTGATTAATTTTGTTTTGTTTTCCGCAGAACTTGTATATTAGCTTGTCAAACTCAAGAGGTTCAACAGTAGCAGCCCCCACAACTGTTCGGGCATCTGTGCTTCTGACTGTTGGAAATACTCCTTCAATGCAAAGGTTAAAACAACTGTCTCAAACCATCAGAGGCTCTCATTCAAGAAACCTGGGCCTGAATAATACTGTATTTGGTAGAGTTAAGCAAGTCCGTTTATCATCTATCTACTCCCTTAATGGTGGTGATGGCACTGTGCCGTCACCTTCTCCTGCTCCACTGCCCCATCCGCACCACCATCACCACCACCATCACCATCATCATCACCACCATCATCATCACCACCACAACCCCCATCTGGCTCCTGCAGTTTCACCCTCACCTGCACCCGACAGTGGTCCACCTGCAAGTCAAAAAGGTGGGCCTGCACCTAAGGATGGTTCACCTAACGCACAGAAAGGTTCTCCACCTAAGAAAAGTTGTGAAGCAAAGCCTCCCAGTTTCCAGTTTGGATCTAGAGGGAAGACTGGAAAGGAGTCTCATTTTGCTCCTGCGGTTGCACCAAATATGTTTCCTCCTGTCTTTATTCCCTCCCCACAAAAACAAGTACAGCCATCAGCACCCATCTACGGTTCAGTTCCAGTATCTAGTCCTTTGCCTCATGTGGTTTTTGCTCATGTCCAGCCGCCATCAAAGAGTGAATCAGATACAAGACATTCTGACACAATGTCATCAGCTGAACCATCACCAGCCACATGTATGTGAATTGATTTTATATTGTTTGTTCTTTTATCGTCAGATTTCTGTGCTCTTTTGAATAGTATTTGTCCGTTCTGGTTCCTACAATCTCTTTCGTATGACAAGGTTGCTGATTGATTACTACAATCTCTCTTTCAAGCTGACCAAAACAAAATATTAAAATTTTATTGCCAAGAGATTGAATTAAACATTGATGTTAATGTTCAGTTATTCTTACACACTGTTGTTGCAGCTTCTGCAGCTCTTCTTCCTTCCGTTCAATGGGCATTTTCTCTGTTCCTAGTTCTGGTGTTTCATGTATAACATCGGATAAATGATCCGTTTCCAGTTAAACCACTTCCGCGGTATTCAAAGGACTCAAACAACTGTATCATTCCAACACGAGCCAGAAGAGTTCTGGAATGGCGAGCAATCCAAGAATGGGTTCACATCTGAGTGAAAATATGTTGCTTCTATGCGTGTAAATATTTAATTAAAAATTAAAAATTCAGCTGGCAGATGCATGTTCAGGTCAAAGTCACAGAGGTGGCAGGCCTTTGATTACATGTATTGCCACTGTTTTGTGTATTCTCTTCCACAGAAATGTAAGAGGGAAGAAACCAGCAAATGTATTCCACTACCTTTTTTTTTGTTCTTTCTCAGTCCTGAGTCAATGAGGTATGCCTTTGAAATATGGTAATCTGTTCACCAGAAAATTCCCAAACCTTCTTTTTCTTTCTTTTGGACTGAAAATTTTCATAAGGCTAACTTCTAGAGAAGTAAAATTTCCACGTTATGCTCTTTGTTCGAATTTTCAGACTTGGGTAGAAGAAGCTCCACTCTGGTTGATTTCCTTTCTATCTCTACTGATGTAATCTGTTTTTAATTTTGATATGAATATTGTTAAGTGGTTTCTAGTTGTGTGCCACAACTCCCACCAAATTTCATGTTCCACATTATATTTGTATGTTGAATGAAATAATACATAAAAAAGGTTGTCTAAAACAAAACTTTTGTATTGTTTGTTACTTAGTATAATATATAGTTTCTATTTTTTAATTTTTTCTCATTCAGAAATAATTTGTCTAGGTGCCATGTGACAATGCTAATATTTTATTTAGGGGTAATTATAATTTTGGTCATTGGGGTTAGGGTCGAATTTAATTTTGATCACCGCACTTTCAATTTCGATATTGGTGATGACCAAAATCGGAAAATTTAAAGTGTGGTGATCAAAATTAAATTCGACCCTAATCCCAGTGACCAAGACTGTAATTACCCCTTTATTTTTATTGCTCAAAATGATGCACTGTTGAAGCTCTTGTGAATTTTTTATGTGGAGTATTTTTGCTTATCACTTTAACTCGAGGTGTATGCTCATCACTCTTCTTAACACTTGATACGTGTCCATAAGCATAACTATAGTTACATAAATCAAAGTAAAAAGTTAATCATGGTTATGTCTATATATACGTGTCAAATATTAAGAAGGATGATGAGCATACACCCAAGATTAAAGTGGTGAGCAAAAATATTTCCTTTTTTTATGACCCTTTTACGAAACATAAGTTGCCAAGTGCCACATGGCTTATTGTACCAATATTTATTCTATTTTCTAGTCATTTGTGACCATTTTCCGGAACAAGTTTGACGTTGTAGATAAATGGTGGCTCCTAGTTGTTATGCTACCGTGCGACATTCCATTTAACAAATATGATGTATTTTCTTGGTGAGGCTCTTATGAATACCTTGTGATGCTTTGGTGATGCTCTATTTCTTAGGGGTGAACACGGGTCGGGTCATGTTGGGTATGGGCCTAAATTATATGCCGAATCGGGTCATGTCGGCAGGCCCAAATGGTGAACCATAACTTCTTTGTTAGGTATAATTTCGGGTTAATTCAAAACTCGAATTTGGCGAGTCCGGATGGTTTGCTTCAGATGACAAATATGATGTATTTTCTTGGTGAGGCTCTTATGAATACCTTGTGATGCTTTGGTGATGCTCTATTTCTTAGGGGTGAACACGGGTCGGGTCATGTTGGGTATGGGCCTAAATTATATGCCGAATCGGGTTATGTCGGCAGGCCCAAATGGTGAACCATAACTTCTTTGTTAGGTATAATTTCAGGTTAATTCAAAACTCGAATTTGGCGAGTCCGGATGGTTTGCTTCAGATGTCTGCCGAGGCCCAAAAACAACAACAACTGAAGGTGTTTTAAAAAAATAAATAAAGAAATAAAAGTTTTCTTGGCCCATTCTTTATTTTTTTGGTAAGATTTCCAGGCCCATTTAAGTTTTAGGGTTTTTGTATGTTTTTCCAGTTTATGTAGTTTTTCATTTTTTACTGTTTATCATCATTCAAATAAAAAAAAAACCTTAAAACCTAAAAAAATCATTGACCACCACACATGTCCAAATTCACAAAAATCATTATTACAGACCATAGCAGATTGTGAGAGTAATCTCAATCACAATCTACATATTTGTAAAGTTAAAAAGAAAATCTAAATCAAAACAAGTGAATTTCCATTACATATAGAAATCAAAATCCACGTGTTTCATACTCCTCAAATCAAATTAGCACCTCTGCACAAAGGAAAAAACACAGTTAATAAATATATGAATTAATAAGACAAAGAAACTACAAATTTTGATTAATGTAGAAAAGAAAGAAAACCTTTTTCCACTTTTTCCAAAGCTTGGTAGAAATCTAACTCATCCAATGCGGGTTCTTTGTAGTAGCTAAACTCCTCTGCCCTTAACCAATTACTACAACAAATCAATGCCTCCACGGTTTTTGGAGTTAACGAACTTCTAAATGGATCTAAAACTCTCTTTCTCATGCTAAAAGAACATTCCGAAGCTATGGTTGATGCTTGGACAACAAATACATCTTTTGCAACATTGGAAAGTATTGGAAATTTCGTAGTATTCTCCTTCCACCAATCAAGGCGATTCACGGGAGGTTCCAATAGGTATTTATCAATCTCATTTCTTATCTCAACAACATCCTTATCTTTCCTTGACTTCAAGAACTTTTGTAACCTTGATGATTTAGTGACATCATTGTTCATAGGCTTATTTACTGTAGCACCCCCTGAAACTTCGGTCAAATCTCACTTTACCCCCCTAAAGTTAAAATGGCCCACTTTACTCTCTTGACCGTGGTTTTGTGTTCCACTTTCCCCCCCCCCCCCAACTGTTAATTCCATCCAAAAGACCGTTAAAAAGGCTGACGTGGCAGGGGCATTATGGTAATAGCATCCACGTGGGCCAATTGCTGACCTTGGTCAGCTGCCTACGTGGTATATTGGACCTCACAAGGCGTTGAAAATCCTAATCTAAGCAGCTGAGTTCGTAAAATTAGGCCAAAGACCCCCTTCTCAACCGATAAAATTTGGGGAGATTAGGGTTTAGACTGTGTCGAAGAGAGAGATTCGAACATTTGAGAAGAACCGAAAATTGCAAAAAAGTGAAAACAGTTTGAGAACAAAATCTAGGCATTGCGCGAATATTAGACCGATTGGACAATGATAGTGCCGAGAGAGAAAGGAGGTTCTCAACCCGAGTACGGTAAGTAGCCCTTTGCTTTTGCTTTTGAAATGAAATCAATGAAAGCGATAGATTTATAAAGTGTGGTCTAGGTTTAAACTTCTTTATTGTCTGCTTGCTTTGTTGGGTCGGGTCCAAAGGTGTTGTGGTCCCCCATGTGTTGCTGTTATGTTTTCTTGTTTACTAGTTGTTTAATGGTCATTTTAGTGCTTTATTGTTTACTAGTTCTTGTTTGCTAGTTGTTTAAGGGTCGTTTTAGTGTTGACTGGTAGTTTGGTGGTTGTGTTGCTATACATATGACTAGGCAGTGGCTAAACTATACACATAACTAGGTAGTGGTTGAAATGTGTTTTTATGTTCTATTGTGCAGATGACAAAGGAATAGTCACCTTTGAAGTACACCATGGAGGTAAAATGGTAAAATCCCCAAACCTCAGTGAGTGGTGGTTTTATGCGGGGGGTTTTGTTGATTATTTGGACTGGTGTCTTTTGGACTACATAAATTTGTTAGAGATATATGCTTATGCAAAAGAGCTTGGGCATCATGACCAAGTGGTTGTGACAGGGATACAAAATGGTAAAAAAATGTATATAGATAGTGATGCTCAGCTACTTGATTGGTGTAATTTGGTGCCTCCTAGCTTTCAAAGAGTGATTGTCATTTACTTGAAATACCCCACCGTTATTAGTATGGATGAATCTGCAGTGGCTTGGAAAGAGAGGTGTCCTATTGCAAGAAACCTATTTGCTGAATTTGAACAATCTGATTATGAGGATATGTATGATGAGGATGAAGAGGATGACGAGGATTGCATTGCTGTTTATGAGGAGGACGAGGGTGATGAAGGTACTGTTCATGAGCCTATACATGCGGAGGAAGCTGGTGATGAAGGCATTATTCCTCAGGGTACAAATGTGGCTGAAGATAGCCATGAAGGAACTTTTCCTGAGGGTATAACTGTGGATGAGGAAGATGATGAAGCTACTGTTCCAGATGGTATAAATGTGGAGGATGAGACTATAGAGGATGAGGGAGAGAATGACAAAAAGGCTGAAAATGATTGTGAAGACAGTGAAGACCCTGAATTTTGTGATAGTGCTTATGACCGAAGTGAAGATGAACAATGCTTGCTGGAGAAGGATGATAGAGCATTTGATAACTATGTTGACCACAATGCTCCAGATTTTGATCCAGCTGCAGATGAAGGAGAAAGATCAGAAGATATGGCTGTAAGTGATGTTAATAGCTTGGATAGTAGCTCATGTGATGAAGGTGCATTGCCTATGAGAAAAAGAAAGAGGAAACTGCCCAAGTTTGAAGATTTTAGGCCTGAAACAGATTTGAATAACCCAATTTTTAAGCTTGGTCTAAGATTTCAAAGTGTTTATGTTTTCAGGAAAGCAGTGAGAAACTACTCAATGTTCAACAGAAGGAAGATTAAGTTCTCCAAGAATGATAAAGATAAAGTTAGAGCAGTTTGTGATGGGATCAAGAATGGAAAATGTCCATTGTTTGTTTATGCTTCAGCTGTAAATGGAAGTAGCATGGTTCAAATTAAGAGTTATGAAGAGGAGCACACCTGTGGGATTGTTGAACGCAATGTGCATGCTAACTCATCATGGTTAGCAGAGAGATATGCTACACAGCTGTCTAGAATAATAAATTGGGATGTATGAGCTTTTAAGGAAAGGGTGAATGAAGATCTATGTGTCATAGCTTCAAGATCACAGATCTACAGAGCAAGGCAAAAGGCAACTGCTATAAGTGATGGGACTTACACAAAACAGTTTGAGACTCTTTGGGATTATGTTGAGGAGCTAAAAAAGACAAATGTGGGAACTACTATAAAGATTAAGTCCAATTTGGAGGGTGACAAATCTAGATTTCAAAGGATTTATATATGCTTGGCAGCTACAAAGAAAGGATTTATTGATGCTTTGAGGACAGTTGTTGGTTTGGATGCTTGTCACATCAAAGGGCAACACCCTGGCCAATTACTATCTGCTGTTGGTGTTGATCCTAACAACGGCATGTATCCAATAGCTTATGCAGTGACAGAGGCTGAGAATTATGCAACTTGGACTTGGTTTTTGGAACTCTTAG